AACTAAAAAGAATAAAAACTAGACAACCAATGATAATAACGGATACTCCCATGAAAACATTCGACAAAATCGCAATGGACATAGTAGGACCTCTAAACGTTACTAATAATCAAAACAAATACATTCTTTCTATCCAAGACCTCCTCTCAAAATTCATAATGGTTGTTCCACTCAGTGATCAAACGGCAGAAACAATTGCAGATGCCCTAATTAAAAGATTTATATGTATTTTCAGTTCACCAAAAGTAGTCCTCACCGACAGAGGAGCAAACTTTACAAGTAAAATTTTAAAAGCCATTGCTCGTAGATTTAAATTTGCAAAAATAGAAACCACCGCATTTTCACCACAATCAAACGGCTCCCTAGAAAGAGCACATCACCCCCTTTGTGAATATTTAAAAAATTTTTCTAGTAAAAAAATTGAATGGGATAATTTATTAGAATTAGCCCAATTTCATTACAATACAAGCATTCACAACGCACATAGATTTACTCCGCATGAACTGGTCTTCGCTTATCCACCACGATTACCATCTAGTGAACCATTAAAAACTTCAGAACAATTGCCAACATTTAATAATTATCTATCCACACTTATACAAAACATGCAGAATATTGCATGCTTAGCGCGGGAAAACCTCATAATAGCAAAAGAAAGATCAAAAAAATATTATGATCGCCACATAAACCCTTGCAATTTCAAAATAGGAGATCAAGTGTGGCTCATTAAAGAACCTAAACCAGGAAAATTAGAAAAGAATCAAAACCTGGGTCCTTTTGAAATATTAAACATCACAGACAAATATAATGTAACAATAAATAAGGGTGGAAAACCGAATACAGTTCATGCAAATAAATTAATATTACACAAAAGTATATAAAATGATAAACCTTTCTCTGTTTTAGGACAAACAAATCATGTATTTAAAAATAACGTTATTCATTACATTCTTTTAAATTACTTATGCATACATTGGATATCACTGCGGCACCACAAACACAAACATCACAACATTCTCCCTACTGGACGCTGACGAATGCGACTTTAACACCAAAACCATAAATTCAACAATAGTAAATGTAGAACTTATCCAAGCAGCCGAATTTAGAAATATTCCAGTACATCAATGCAAAATTGAAATCCATCGGACAGTATACCAATGCGGATTATTCGGACGCCTCGAACCTGAACAAAATGGAGAACAGGAATACTTGTATGAATTGAGCCATGAACAATGCCAAACTATCCACGAAACAAGAATTTTTAAGTATGACAATTTTCATACGATTGCCGATTTAAAAATAAACGCCACAACAACCAAGGGCATAGACTTCGCTGGCGATGCAGGAAGCTGCAGCGGCGTAGCCTACGCAGACAGGTTCGGATCATGGAGTAAGGTACTTGTTAAAGGCACAATTAAAATCACATTAATACAAGCATATGCGAAAATTTGTCTGAGTAATGACAAATTACATTTAAGCTCAGGAACGATATGTAAATTTTCAGACACAACTTGCGTAGACTCTGACGGGGGTTATACATTTTGGGACATTTTACCTCAAGAAGAATGTTTTACTAACACTTACGATATTTTATATAAAGGTCCAGTAACAAAATATTTTAACACACACAGTGACGATATAATATACATGGTAAACACTAGCGACACGACCTTTGCTTTAACAGCTAAAGATAAAATACTGAAATGCTACAGAGAATTCATAAGAACAGAACACCCAAAACTCTTTATCGCGGAAGAAAACAATAACTTCAACAAATACAAATTCGATAAAGATACTGTTACTAGCAAAAGCAAGGTCAACATAGATTTATTCACATATGTCAATTCTAAATTTGTATATGTCGAAAAGCATTTGGGCAGACAGCTGAACGACCTTTATAGAAAAATCATTACAGATAGGTGTGAAGTAGAGAGGAAAACAATACAAAGCTCCCTATCCCATGCAACCCTCTCCCCTGACGAATTCGCATACAACATCATGAAGAAACCTGGATACATTGCCAGGATCGCAGGAGAAGCAGTTCATGTCATAAAATGCACCCCTACTGTAGTGAAGGCACAGCACCTTAACGAATGCTACAGCGAATTACCAGTAATTTCAGGCAATGAAACCTGGTTTCTTACTCCAAAAACGCATATCCTCAAAAGAAGAGGTACTCCAATGAACTGCAACTCCATCATACCTACATACTACAAAGTAAATAACAAATGGATAAAACTAACACCGAAACCAATGGAAACAATATCACCACAAACACTCAAACCAAACACAAACATAAATTGGAAATTTGAATCCATAGAGTCATTAGCAACTAGCGGCATATACTCACAACAAGAATTAGATCAACTACAACAACAAATAATGTTCCCCATGGAAAAAGCATCTCTGCTAAATATTATAGCTAAAGAGATATCAGGAGAAGGAACAACAGGGAATATTTTTACAGAAAATACACTTGCAAAATTGGCAGAAAACACATGGAATCACATGTTCAACAAGCTAGTCATGTGCGGATCAATCTCATCAGTAATCATCATGATATTAATAATACTGCAAATAACAAAATTGACAATTGACACCATCATCAGAGGATATACGCTGCACATGGTTTAAGGCTGGTCTATGAACCTACTATGGGCCTTCTTTAGCTCAATAACCCACCTGTTAGTGATACTAGGACGACAAAACCACAACAGTATGACAAAAATTAATAAACAAAATGCAGAAATTGAACTAGACACAATACACACAAACCTGAACGACACAGACGTCAAGATACAAATCTACCCTGATACCCACTGTCCTATTCCTCAACAAAATTTACCTCTCGAATCAACAATAATCAAATACAAACATGACCTATTTTCAACAAAAATCTAATTGTCATGTCGTTCAGTACCCCAAATGCTTTACGTCATGGCCACATTTTAAGCGGGGAGGGAAGCGAGATATTCGCTTTAGGATATTAGGCTGAGATGACAAAGGAATTGAAATAAAAAACAAAGATTTGTTCTTTTTATCTAAAAACAGAAAAAAATATATATTTATTTTTACAAAATTACAAGCATATTTGCAAATATAATCACACTCAGATACAATTGCAATTATACCGGTGGTCCACACTTGGACCTACAATCACATTATAAAAATCACTAAACACTTCTACGCATACCCTACGGAAACCATTGCAATAAACTAACAAACCATAAAAAAATAAGTCACGAAGACCCCAAGTATCTTCGTCTGGCCCATACTCCCCCAGGAAGAAGGCCGTGCGCGTCACTCGGTCGCAATGCCGTAGAGTCCGCACCAATTGCCATCTCTGAAACTAACAAAGCAAACAGGAAACAAATTAATCCATATATATAAAAATACCAATATACATTGCAAAATACTTACATCTATCCTCACATACTTCCGGGTTCCGGGTTTCGGCCCGGCAGGAAGGGGCAAGCCCTCTCGTCTGGCTTTCTTCACAGCACGTGAATGCTGCCAATCCGCAAACTAAAAAAGAAAAAAATATATAATGAAAATAACAACAACAAATAAAAAAAAAAAAGCATGGCAACAAGAATTACAATCAATCTTTAATACTTACACAGACCATGAAATAACGTTTCCTTAGGAACCCGAACATCGTAAACTGAAAAACTTGAACTGTACAAAGTCGAGCAACTGCACTCCTTATATACTAAATAAAATGTACATACCACAAAATCTCTGTATAAACCGCAAACTAGTAGCTTTGAATTTCAGAAGTATTTTTATGCAAAACATTGCAATCATATTGCAATGTCTTAGGCCCTGGGGTGTTACGTCTTACGACGCATCCTTTTTGTAACAACTGCACACTCGTGAAATTCAAAGCTTCTAAAACTATTCGCACGTCAGCAGAAAGCTGACGAAACGCGAGGTAAATGATACTCCGAAATAAAGTTGTTACACCTTACGACACATCCTCTTTTGTAACAAATGCATATTCAGGAAATTCAAAACTGCTAAAATATTCACACGTCAGCAGAAAGCTGACAAAACGCGAAACAAATAGCACTCCGAAATAAAGCCACCGAGCACAAGAATGTATATTCAGCAAAAAACAAAATGTCACAATTCGATACTGACCTGAAAATTAACATATAAAAAGCAATGAACATCATTACGAACGGAGTTGATCAGTAGTCCGTCAGTCTGTCAATAAGTACCTGTAAGACTCAACTCCGTACACACCGGTCCGACAATTGGTGATCATTTTAATTAATAAACTCGCGACTGTTACAAAGTAATATTCGTGCAAGTATTATTCTACAACCTATCCTATTCAATTCAACAAGCAGTTAGAGCCTGCTACAATTATTCAATTCAACAAGCAGTTAGAGCCTGCTACATTTATTCAAGTCAACAAGCAGTTAGAGCCTGCTACATTCATACAATTCAACAAGCAGTTAGAGCCTGCTACATTTTATCAACAATTAAAGGCTACGGTTATCAAGGTAGTACACTTATCAAACATACATTTCCACATATATTTATAAGTGAGACATATCCGACCACTAGTCAACATATTGGAACGTCTCATTCATTAGCTATTCGTAGTTGATGCACGAGACGTAACACTCGCATTTTCTCTCTCGCGGTAGCGCTCCTCGTCATGTGCCTTTTTGGGATCGCTTCTACCATATTCGCCAGAATACGCTCACCTAGTAAATCTGACTTATGTTCGTTGTTATCAACGTTATTAATTTTCAGTTCAACTACCCAGTACGGACTCTCATATGTACCTCTAATTAGTGATTCATTCGAAAGGGGATCAAAAATATTTATTCTTTTATTGTCTAGATATATGGCTAATCCCATCTCTGCAAACTTTCGCAATGACAATAAATTCTCTTGCAGGGCTTCAGCAAATATTACCTTGTCTGTCAACATTTTCTCGCCGTTTTCTAATTTTAGTTCGAAATCACCCACTCCCTCCGTTTTCAAATCGGCTGAATCATTTTTATTTGCACATTTAATTGTACCCAAATCGAAAGATCTAGTGATTTGAAAATGATTTTGGATTTAGTCAAATGTTCTGTCGCACCAGAGTCAGCTATGAATCTATGAACATATTTTTCCAAATCACTTTGGTCATATATCGTGTGAAAAGCTTGATATTTCGAATTGCTGATATTTGATACTAATTCGCCTTCGCATGTGTACTTAGCTTTAGGATGCTCAATTGAGCACTCACCTTGGTTGCAGTTTCCTCCAGAGTTTTCGTTCGTTGGTTGGTTGGAGTTTCCTTGTTGATTACCGCCTTTATTGCTATCGTTGTTGTTTCCCTGATTGCCACGGTAACCACCTCTACCTCTTTCCCTAAAGCTACCTCTGAATCTACCTCGCGCACCTCCTCTGAATTTTCCCCGTTTGGAAATTCCGTCGTTTTCGTTCTCATCGTTATATTTCCTTTTCTTCCCTCTCGCGTGTCCTCTAGAGTACCCGTGAAAATTACGCGAATTGTTAAAATTTGAATTACCTCGTCTCGAATTTCCTCTGTTGGAAGTGTTCGGGTGCTCGGGACACTGGAAGCTGATGTGCCCCAGCTTGTTACATTTGTAGCACACCTTGCTGCCCCGATTGGGGCAGTTTCTTCCAATGTGGCTGTAGCTACCGCATTCGTAGCAGTAGTCACCTCGATTTCCTTGTCTACTTCCCCTCGCCCCGGTATAGTTCGCGGATCTCACCACATTTGTAGCACTCGCACCTTGGTTTCTCGTCGCCTCTTCCTGTAGGACAAGAACTTTGAGTTCTTCGTATGTGAGATTTCGCCCTTTTGTTGTTTTAGTCAAGAATTCGATATTTTGTATCGAAGGGACAGAAACCATAACTGCTCCGAAAAACGCATCTCTTTTCTCATCATCCGACAGAGGGGTTGCACCAGGGCAATTCTCATAGTTTCTAATCGTATCTTCGAAGTTTTCACAAAATTCGGCAGCCTTTGTCTTTCCAATAATATATTGCATAGTGTAAATTGTTTTTCTAACAGATTGGGAAGTTACATTATTTTCACACCTTTTAAATTCTTTCAAAGTTTTCAAAATTCCAATAGGTTCTTTCAAGTTTATGATTTTATTGTGATAATTTGAATCCAAATGATTTATTAAAATATCTCTGACCTTAAATTTTTGTTCCTCTAAAATTTTTGTTTCAAATTTGGAAAAATCAGTTTTCTCATCTATTATGTGCTGCAAATTATTTGCTCTCAATTCCGAAGAAAAGTAATCAAGAAACAATTCAAATTTCATGTTGTTGTTCAGTTTGTAATCTCTTTTAAAATTATTCGCACCTTTGTTCAAGAATTCTAATTTCAATGTATTTTTCAAATCCTCTACTGTAATTTCATTTTGATTACTTTTCTTGGTGGCCCTTTTTACTTCTGATTCAATTAGTTTTTGAATTTTGTTATGCAAAGTTAATTTATCCTCGCCGTTCTGGAAACTCCCTCTGTCAGTGATTGTACTTTGGGCTAGTCCGTTTCTCACCTGATTATATTGTATCGCGCCTTGATTTTCCACACCTTGTGTGTTTTTATTCTCGTCAACCCGTATTTCGGACTGGACTTCGTTTTTCTCGTCTTTGGGACATGAATACACACCATCGGGTGATCTCTTTTCAGATTCACACAAATATTCGAGGCCTTCCTGTATCTCGCCGATTTGTTTGTTTATAGAGGCCATTTGGTCTTTTGTGTCGTCCATGTGCTCGTTAATTTGAGCTCTGTCCAAGTTATATTTTCTCACCTCATCAGTTAATTTTTCTATGTTTTTATTATGTGTCTTAGTGCTTGCTTCCATAATTTCGGTTATGTTTGTTGATAATTGATTTTATTTCCCCTATTTGGGTTTCTTGTCGAGCCACTTTTCTGGAAACTACAATAATGTTTTCATTGTCGCTCTTATTCGTATCTATTTTAAAATGAGTATGCTCTGATTCCTTTAAATTTTCGACATTATATTTATTCCCTAAATTAACCTTTTTATCAGATATAATGGATGGAGGTTGTTTACCGCTTTTGACCAATTTCTTTATCTCGTCGAGCTCTTTCAGAACAGTCTCCTGTCCTCTCTCCTTTGACTCGTCACTCGCCTTTATTCCGGTACCGGAGTTCTCACCCTCACCTTTCTCGTCTTGTCTCTCCTTATTCTCATCGTTTCTCTCCTCGTTATTAGTCTCATCTTTTCTCTCCTCCGTTTGTTCCTCGCCTGCACTCCTTTCCACACCTTTGAGCTCGACGATGTTTGGCTCGATTTTGTTTTGGTCTGGCATTATTGCCGGAATGTTCTCAAGCAGGTGATCGTCGACCCACTTCTCCAGGAGAGTCCAGTTTGCTTCAGTTGGACTTGGGAACATTCTCTTGGCTGTAAATCAATTCATTTTAATATTTTTGACAGACAATCATAAACATGCATTCTTATGCACTCATGTAAGTACACGAGTATGCGTGTTGGATTGTCTATTTGTCTCGTGCTCGGTTGACAGTAACAACAAGTATGGCCGAAAACGAGAGGAGTCGAGCAAGTAAAAGTCCGATACTTCGAGACTTCACTCACACGCTCCGATCGACTGAACACACCTCCTGAACTTCAGGTTTGTGTGTGCGACCGACCACGAGCCTTTATTATTTTGTGTTGTAAAAAAAAATTCGAATTTTTAAGTTTCTGATACAATAAATTATAAAGTCTTGTTTTATGGCAATTGCTATATCATCAATCTCACCGTTAGATATTTTGTTTAACTCACCACTAAAATATATTTGGCCTTTTTCACACTCGATTTTTAATTTTTCTTCCTGCAGGCTGAGTGTGATTTTCTCGCCTTTGTGTAGTTCGGATAATCGGAAAGTTTCCTCTAAGAATTTCCATACATCTTTCAATGATGGTTCAGCTGTGGAAATTCGATTTTAATTAGTTTTTCTCATCTTTAATTTTAATTCAGATTTTGTTTCAATTTTGTTCGGCAACGCATGCGTCATTTTTCATTAGTGGTCTTGTGTTGGATATTCGACGAAAAGATAGACGCGCGCGCGACACCATGAGCGCGCTGTGCTTTTTCTTTCCTTGCTGTGTATATATGTGTATATATATACATTTTCGTGTCTCACCTTGCACTCGAGTGTCTCATGTTTTCTATTCGGCATGCCACTCCCCTTCATTCCTTCTCTCTCTCTCACACGCACGCCCATGCTTATGCCACGCTCGCGCCAACCCTCCGCCGGCCGGCAAGTCACGACACGCAGGCCTTTGTTTCTTGGAATTTCAAAACTCAACGGACAAATGAAATTCTCTCGCACCATTTCCGATTTTCTTTTCTTATTTATGGTGCATGCGTGCCTCTTTTAATTTTTCTTTTCTTTTTAGACAAATGTCTTTATTGGTTTTTTTTTTTTTTTTTTTTTTTTTTTATCTCTCACCCGCACCTTGATTTATCATGATATTTCATTTACTCACGTGCTTCGCAATTTGTTTCTACATCAGTGTAGCCGACCTGATGACTACTCTCACCCGCACCTTGAATGTTTTCCTTATCTTGTTGCTCTTCTTTGTTGTCCACTCTCGCCGTTGGTTTTCTCTTCACTTTTCTTTTCGTTCACACACACCTTATTTTAGCACTCGCGCAGTGGAAGCGTACTGGGTCCATAACCTGTCAATGTATGTGTCGCGAGGACAGGTGTGTGCAAATGAATAAACGTTATGTACGTTAAGAAGTCTTTATTATAATGCGTTCTCAAAAGCTCGCCTCGATTTAAGTAGCTGTATGTGTCGCGCTCGAACTAACTCGACAGACAGACTCTATAGCGCTAGGCGGCGTCCTCAGCATGGGAGAGGAGGATTAGAGCGGGCATGAAGGCGTGAGCATTCAAATATTTTACAGTTATTCTCAAAGGTAATAAAGGAAATTTTTTTGTGATTCTTAACATAGAAGATGAAATCAAAGAATTAGTTGAAAAATATGCCGAATACTATACATTAGTAATAAATAAACGTGAAAAACGTCAAAAATCTGAAGTTTTTCGAAATATACATGATGGACTCAAATACAAACAATTTGTTAATTCATTACCTTTGAACAAAAGAATTTTAATTGATTACATGTACCTTTGATAGTGATGGATCACCAGCATTCAAACACTCTACATATTTGATTTGGCCAATTTAAATATTGCTAATCAAATTGCCTTTTCAAGTATGATATGATAATCCAATTATATGTGCTTTGTGGTTCGGTCGATCTAAGCCCAATATGAACATATTTTTAAAAATGTTTGCGCAAAAAATTAACAATATCAACAATCAATCCATTCCATGCACTATTAATGGTGACTTAAAAAATTTGAAAATTTATCCACTTGTTTGTTGTTGCGATTCCGTCGCTCGTGCCCCAATGCAGGGCCTTATTCAATTCAACGGTCGTTTCGGACGTAACTGGTACTACCATCTTAGCAAGCCAATAAAAAGTTTAAAAAAAAGTCATCAAATATCTTCTTCTTGATAGAGTATGAAAATGAACGTCAGTAGATATGTTAAAATATATGAGAACAAAAAAAATCAAAGACTTCGATGCCAGCATTTGGCGTAAAAGGGATATTTGCTTTAATTTATCTTCTATGTTTTGACTTAGTTTACGGGTTCGTACCTGACGTTATGCATAATACTTTTTTAGGAATCTGTCGTCAATTCGTACATTATTGGTTCGAAAAAAGCGGGAAAGATTATTATATAAAGAAAGAAATAAGTTTGATTGATGCTATTTTAACTAAAATTCAGGTGCCAAAACAGATAGCTCGTTTAACAAGACCGATATCCGATAGGCAACATTGGAATTCAAGAGACAGGGAAAATTGGCTTTTGTTTTTTAGTGTACCAACTTTGCAGACTGTTCCCGATTTCCGAAAATTTGCAGATCATTGGGCTTTACTAATTGAAGCCATCCATATTTTATTAAATAGATGTATTACTCTAAAAAATTTGAAGTAGGCACAAAAATTATTAAACGAATTTGTTGCTAAAACGGAAGAATTATATGGTGAATACTCTATGACGTTTAACGTTCATCAGCTGTTACATTTAAATGAGAGTGTAATTAATTGGGGACTTTTATGTGGATACAGTGGTTATGCTTTCGAATCTGGTAATGGAAAGATCGTGCGAATGGTAAAAGGAGCAAATGGAGTATTAAGTCAAATTTGCCGGCGTCTTGAATATAAAAGTAGTGCAAGATGGTTAGAAAAACATTTTAAGCAAATATAAAAATTCACCCATATTAGATTTCGCTTCGAAATTGGCAAATACCTACACGGATAAATCAGTTGAAATTAAAGAAAATAGGTACTTTGGCAATCCATTCTCCACCAATAAGTCAAAAATTCGTAAGCTTGATCTCAATTTTGACATCCCTACGTCTTACAGTAAAATAGTAAAGAATAACTGTTTATTCTTAATACATAAAGTATTAAATTAAATACAAGTCGTTCCAGAAACTGTTTTGCAGAGTCAAAAATGGTAATTTCATTCAGTTATTAGAATCTGTAGCCGATGAACGTCGAAACGTTGATTTAACTCTGTGTAATCGAATTAACACAGAATTATCATTCGAACAATGCAATAGCATTGAGAAAATAATAAGTATAGACAAAGAAAAAAAATAATTAAAACAAATGACATAGTTAGCAATGCTGTATATATGGATACACCATTTGGTCAGTATATATGTGCCTTACCAAATGATATTCATTACTGATTACGTTTCATAGATTACAGTATTAATGTTAATAATTTGATATTGCAGTTGTATTTTGCATCATGAATTGTATATAATAAATAAAATGCATATCATTAAGCAATGTATATAATTATATAGCTATATTGTAATACTATTAATCTAGCTGTGTCCGATGTAAAATAGAAGTATGCGTACATATTTATGTCTTCAACTGTATCATTAATTTTATCGTTTTGTGATGCTCATAAACAATAATTTTAATGGCGATCTATGTAAATATGAAATATTTATAATTTTGTGATAATACATGTATATATAATGTAATGCCACTCTTAAAAAAACTTCTCAATATTAGAAAATTGTATTGAAAATTATATTTTCCACAAGTATCATCAATATATAATAACGTTTCAAAAACTACTAACCATGTATAATTTTGATCAACTATTATTGATAAATAAATTCTTCGTTGTTAAGAAATGATCAATCAGAATAATTTTATTCATCAAAACAATGGATTTGTTTCAAAAACAAAAAGTTCATCAACAATTATTAAATAATTTATTTTATATTAGGCTTTTTCACAGATTCCCATAGATAATTTTCAGCTCTTATACTTTGCTGAATAAGCTCTGATTATGTTCTGAATGAACTCTTAATCAGTTCTGATTTAACTCTGATTCAGAATTGCATTTTTGGACAAAATTAGAACAAAATCAGAGCAAAATTAGAGCCGATCAAGAGCTTATTCAGAGCACAATCAGAACTGATATCAAAGCATATTCAGAGCAAAATCAGTTCTGACTTTTTAGATAGGGTTGTTTCATCAAAATTACTTTTAATTAACGTATTTTAATTAAATAACAAAGACTATTACATCAATATCTATAAATAGGTGACGTCACGCTCATTATAAGGTCATGAAATTTGACTCTGGTACTAAGACAATCATATAATATATGAGGTGGCGCCGTTTAATATGCTAATTGATGTAAACAGATTGACGAGTTTAGTGAGTTGCAGTAATCCAGTGAAAATAATAGAATATCTCATAGATAGAACCGTTACATTAGTT